GTTGGGAAGAGTACGTTATTTTACCACCTCTAAAAGAGTACATGCAGTGGGTGTAGAAAGTATTCGTACACCAAAAATTGTAATTGTAAAATTGTAATTTATTAACTTATTTTTTATAAGCAATGACATTCCACATATTCTCGGAAATCTCTGGAATAGAGTACAAAAAAATACCTATTTATGTAAGTTACGAAATTAACAAAAAGAAAAACAATTAATGGATAGAAATTAAAACAATAAGTATTCGCACAACTGTTTAATTTTTAAAACTTGATTAAAAAAAAAAGAAATTAACATTAATTTACAAGTATATATATTCAATATTTCCTTCGTCCTTTTGATTTTATAATTAATGCAACTCTTCTAAGCGTTAAATTAACTAAATTATTAGTTAATCGAAGTGGGATCTTCTTCAATTCCTCTATTAGAGCCATTTTTAAAAGTACTTTCCTGGAAATTCGATGTTTTCTAATTCGTACGGAGCAATAAACTAATGTATTTACGTTACAAACTCTACTGTAAATGGTTCGTTATAAGAATCGTACAAATACTTATTGCTTCTATACTTTTACCTACTTTTCGCATTTTTTTGTTAATTTCACGAATCACATTAACTAGTAAATGTTGGTTAGACTATATCTATCTTAGAGATTTCCGAGAATATGTAAAATATCATTGATTATACAAAAATAAGTTAAGAAACTACAATTTCACAGAAAAGTTTTTTGGGAAATTCATCGGTGTACAATACATTTTACACTCACTGTATGTTTATTAAAACCTAGGTCCATGTTATTTATTTAATTTGTCGAGTTATGCCACCATCGATGCCAAGATACGTGCACCGATCGACGCCATTAACGCGTGTTGTCACGGCCACGTAATCAGAAACAGAACCAGGCAGACTAGACGTACAAAGGCTGGGTCTGGGCAGGTCGATCCAAGAGGATCTACCGTGGCATGGATCTCCTGTACGTTCTCGTGTAATCTAACAAACCGGTATTATACGAGACGACCGCGACGGGCGTGATCCTTCCACCGCGCCTCTGCCTATATCGTACCTACGACCTTACGACACTGACTCCTGCCTCCGAAGGGACCAGGGAAAAAAGAAAACCCCAAAGACGGGACCCCGTGGAGGTGGTACAGTCATCTTCAAGTACCGCATCTTTGAACTCGACTCCGGATAGAATACCTTTCGTGTTCGTGCAACCAACGAACGATGCATCGTTAATTTACCCCTATTTTTAATCTAGGAAATAATTCAATATTTAGGTGTTCAGAATGTTAGTAAGGTAGAGATACCAGTAGTTAACTTATCGAGGAGAAAATGGATCATGTAAGTTGGTTGTGAGATTTGGTTTTTCATTTGGATGTGATATAGATGGGGAATTAATTTTGTTGTCTTTTAGGATGAGGATGATGGGGATTGAAATTTTATTGAATAGTATATTTCAAAATAATCGGAAACAGTAGATTTATAGAGTAAATAGTAGTCTATCTTAATAATCTTAAGCTATCTACTTAAGTAGTAGTAGATTTAAATTTATCAGGGGCTGCAGCTAATTCCATTAAGAGATTTTATTTAAAATACTATGCGAAATATAAATACTTTTATTATAAAAATGTAATTGTTTTCTTAATATTCTTCATATAAAATCTTCAAAAAAAATGGACACTCAAGCGTAGAAAATCGAATATTCTAGGGAAAAATTGCAACTGAAGAATCTGAGAAGAAATAAAACTAATTGGTTACAAATTTAAATTTACATATACCAGTAGTTTGCAGATATTTGATTTTAATTAAAGTTAGGAGAAAATTAAATTTAAGTTCATTACATGAATCACTGCATTTTTCAAGAGAAAAACAAAAATTGATCTCCTATGCTTTCAAATATTAATTAAATTATAAAAGCAACAAATCGGGAAATCTTTGTGTCTCTTTCTAAGTAAAGGTACGTAGTTGTAACTTCATATGATTATATTCATTTCAAAATAGACCTCTACCTTACATCCACAGAAAAACGTCGCAATTCGTAAGTCTCTATCGCAGAGAGATCATACTAAACGAGATTGCAAAACGTTGCCCATAAAGGATCACATCCAACGCAAATGGAGTATTCTACGATTGCAGGCAAACTTTCTTGATTTCGTAAAAGTCCAAGAATCAGGGCGACGTATCTATGTCACGCTTTGGAAATTTGAACGATTTCCGGGTTATCGATACCATTGACAGATGTCTTCTCATTGAGATCTGTAGTGGTTGGTCTTTGATCTACATTATGAAGCGTTTGTCAAAATCTATCCCTCCCTGAACTGGGGGTTCTGGGGGTCCTGAGGGTTACTGAAGGTAACCCTAATATCTCATTAAAAAAAGTAAGGTAATGAAAAACAGATTACAGCACTGTATGTCCCCCTAGATACCATGCAACTTTTGTTTGAAACATTTTGTCGTACAACAAATACCTTACGATTTATTTGAGGTCGTCACGTTATAAGACTCACCCTGTATATAAATTCATTGTTAAAGACATTAAATTGAGAACTAAGAAGGTTAATAGTTTGACAAAATGACGTGTAAATATTTGTATTTAAACTACAGTTACAAACGATAGAATCTAAAGGCTCAGAATTAATTTTTACACATAATATCTCTAGTCTCTTGCTTTTCTCACCGATGAAGCACCATCAGGGAATATTCCCTTACCCAGATGGAGGGGATAACCTTGAACTCCGTAATTTTTCGGCGTCGACATGTCGCGGGTGTAAAATACGGTAACGTTTCGACGAGTCGACTGTCGCTGACAATGAAAACGGATTCCGCGGTGGTTCGAAGTGAAAGTGAGTTCTGCAACGGAGTCTGCGATTGCACGCGGTCTCGCGAAGTGACGCGTGCAGGCCGCGTGTATTGCTCGAAACGCGCGTGTCTCCTGCGAGAACGATGGGAACAACCGGTACGTCGGAGCACGGCCATATTCGGTGGCCTAAAATTGGGACGAGCTGTTTCAACGTGGCTGCGCGAATTCGGTTAAACTCTGACTTGATTTTTAAACAGGACGATTGTCCATCCCTTTAACGCAATGACTGTTGCACTAGTATCCGTGAACACTTCTGTCAGAATAACATTTTGTTTAGAAATAATTGGGAGATACATAATCGATCATTTGTCGTGATACTTGATTCGTAATCTTGTCAGATCTTTGAAACCTTATCTTCAGAATTTAGGTTTATAATTGAACCGTCCATTGCACAAGTCGATTAACTCCATAAAGCAAGAAGTTGAGAAATGCGATGAAATAATGTACATTGTTTTTTAAAATTCCTTTTATAGTATAAATTCAAAGAAATATTGTAGAATGCACAAATACAGATGTAGCTTTTATATAACGGTATATACAACTAATAAAAAAGAATAGCCAAAAAATAATCGTCAGTGATGTTGCAATTTTTATGTGACTGATGGAGTTAATCGATTTGTGCAGCGAACGGCTCGATTGTTTAATGGAAACCCATGACACACATATGTGAAGTGTAAAACAGAAATAAAAGTAAGCTTAATTTTTGTGTGGATATTATCGATAATCAATCATTCAGATTGTACTTCGTCTTCGTTTGTCTCTGGTCTGTAGATTCACCCCTTAAAAGGATGCCTACCTGTAGGAAAACAACCTGTTTACAGAGAGCGGGTAGAGTAATGTGAACACCTGTGAAATATATTTAGATATTATATTATTACAAAATTATTTACGAATGAAAATTTTGTCGAACTTGTTACAAACTGTGAACTTTGTTTAATTTTGTTTAAATAATTGCAAAAGTAAAGAACTGATAACTAAATTGCAGATTTTATGTATTTATGACGGACAATAATATAGAAAACATACATAAAATATACATAATGTATATTGAATACAATTAATGATCTACAATTAATATAATCATATTGTTATTTCATTTTGTATAAGTGCACATACCTTTTGGTTATGCTTAGCACGTGTTTATTATATTTGTTTATATCATAAATGCAGAAAATCCACAGTCTACTAATAGTATAAAATCCCCTAATTTTATACGAACTGCAAGCTACTTCAGTTATCACAAAAATTCTTGATAACTCAGATACAAAAGTGATCGATGATGGCTCTTGACAATTAATGAGCAAATATTTATCACTAAAATTACGTTACTTCTTTATCACATTTATCAGCATAAAACATCGTCTTCAACAAGAAGATTACCTCGGATCCGTCATAGTCTAAAGTGTTTCCCGCAGGTAGACCGCGAAACGTTAACGTTTTTGGTAAGTTTTTCGCGCGATTCGAGCAGCGATATTAAAACTCGTTTCGCGATAGTATCGCTGCAGGGTATCTCGATTGAGCGGCTCGTCGTGTCCGCTGGCATGCCAACGCCTTTAAGAGAAATTGCGGTGGTTTGTTGAGGAGTTCGTGCCAGCTTCGTTGAACAGCTTCGCGCGTTCATGGAGAAACGCTCTCCTCTGTACGTGTGTGTATATGTGTATATGTGTCACGTATTTGCTCAAACGTTATCCATCGAGCGCGTGACAAGATTCGCGAATAAAAAGCACACGTTTTCCGCGATGATCCATGTTGGATTTCACGGACCATTGCCCATTCCACCGCAGACGAGAAGTCATTTTGCGATTACTGGCCCTTGTGATCATTTTGCCACCATGGATACTCAACTGATTGAGATTTTTTATTTATTCCAGACATTGTTTTTTAACATTAAATCTACCGCCGTTCATTTCTAACTATTTCTACTGTGATGGATATATTATATATATTTGAGACTCATTATAACTCTTGTTATTATATTTTATAAATAATAATATTTAGAATGATGAATTAGATTATATAACAGCCTCATTCGTTCAACTTTACCTCCTAGCCTTACATCTATAAATTGCAATATTTCTTGTAACAATGTCCTTGTATTAAGCCAGGTTTCTGCTCTACGGCGAATCAGATTTCGTGATATCCTTTTTGATTATTCACGTGTATACCTCTATAACCTGAGATCTTGACGCGGAGACAGATGGAAAAAAAATACTGTCGTTGACTGATGCCAGTGGGAGAAGAGATGAGATCGGTCCAGACGAAACTTTGGCAGGTTGCCAAAGATGAAAATGGAAGCATAACTCGTCTTTCTGTGGCCCAACTGGGGGGTCGACGAACCCAGGACCGATCTCTCTAGTTTCTACACTCCCTTTCTATCTATCTTCCTTACTCCAGAATGGTTAGGCTGTCTCTCATCTCTCTCTTTCCAATTTTGCTTGCGAGCTCACATTTAGATTTAGAAGCATCCCCGGGTGCTCCGGAAATCCGTCGTCGCTTTCATTCCGCTTGCTTTTTCGGGGGACCTGCGAAAGATATATAGGGAGGCTTCGATAAGTCGATGTCAATGGGAAATGGAAATTATTTTGTTTCATCGTGGGTTCTTCTTATCGAGGTTTCCATTTTTAGAGGCTTAAACGATGTGAGTAATTAATTAAGGTAGTTGTACTGTTTAAATGTTACTTTTTAAATACTATAAAGGTATATGGGTTTCGCAGTGTCTATATATATATATATAGGTAAGTTTTCTTACCTATAAAATATATATATATATATATATATATATATATATATATATATATATA